CGCTTTACATCCGATGGTCGCAGATACGATTCCTCGCATGGTGCAAACATTTGCATTCATGAGTATGATTGTTTGTATCGGTTTGGCCGTTTTCTATGATTATTAGGTATGTATTTACGAAAAAATGTCTAAATATTTATATCAGTTGTCTAATACCCTGAACATAAGCTCTACTTAGCTTGGAGCTAGATGGCCCAGTGTCTAGAGTTATTATTATATTATTTTAGTTTGAACTAGTTGGTCCTACTTACTTTTGTTAATACAAGGAATACTTAATTATTTAATATGTTTACTTATATATTTTAAGTTACCTTTTTATAATAATTAAAAACAAAACTCTTTAATTTTGTACATTTAATATCTAATTTTATCATAAATTGTAATTAATCTTAGCAGGCATTAGTCAAATCCCTCCTGTTAATGTAGAAGAAGTTCATAATGTGAAAATGAGATAACAACGGAAATTAGGTACTGCTATTGGTAAGTACTTGGATAAACTGTTTGCCGTGATTCTTTGATTTTATTCAAGATTACACCCACGCCTCTGTACGATCTGATAGCGTTCTTTTTCACTCCACAAACGCCCAAGATTTACGACCAGCCCTTATAATAAAACCGCCCATACCAACTCCAGTAAGTACTGCCTAAAATATTTCGCCAAATATTCACGGATGCTTTATTATTAAACTTTTATTCACAAGCCCATACTAATATAATAAATGCAAAAATGTCTGTCTTTTCTTCATTTTAATGATTGAACATCGATTTAATTATTAGCCGGAAATGGTAATATCACATCCCTAAAATAAATATGGAAGTGGGTAAAATAAGTGAACGTTTAGTAGTTTTACTACACCGACAAAAAAACGGCGAAGATCGTTGGATCGAATCTACGCAGACCAAAAAACTTAGTCAATATATATTTCTAAGAACGGGTTTCTGACTGGTAATGAAAATATCGATAATAATCAAAACTAACCATAGTGACAGCGGTAGAATTCCTGCCATGTTGTATTCAAATTTCGAATATACTCGGCCAAATATGGTCATGTAAAATTATGAAGATAAAAATTACCATAGACATCTCATTATCATATGATACCCGCGATATATCTAATCCGAAGAACTAGGGTGTCGTGCCTTATTCTGAAGCTTCACTACCTTATTTCCACTTCATCTCCACTACTTAATTTCCACCGAAATAGCTTACACAGCTGCTTGACGCTTAAAATAGGAGAGACTGAGAACGTATCCAAGCAAACGACTTTTTATAAAGTCTGTAATCCATTACCAAGAATGTAGAATTGTATATTTTTATCTGTTTCAAATGGTATTACACAAACTAGTATTACATAATTAGGTTTGTGTAAGATAGAGACGAAGTATTTTGTTAACTATATTGAATTCTCTTGCTATCCCGGTATCTGGTCCTGATTATTATCCTTGTTCTATTTTTTGTCAGTAGAAAAAAATGACAGTGTAATTTATAGATACTGAATCGACCCGTCCATTCGGGATAAAATTTTCAATAAAATATGGGAAATAGGTTCCTTTATTTAAGTAGAGATGATATAAAATGGTTGAACGTAGACGAGGGTTAAAAATATAGCAGGAATATTATTAGGTTTTTATTAAAAAAAATATCTTATTAAACAGTTTTTCTGCGATATTCTTATTTTAAAATAGATCTGTTAATTTTTGTTTGTATTTTTCTTAGGTTTTTAAACCTCGACGAAAATTGAGAGTTGTTTTAAATTAAACATATCTCTCTGTTATAAAATATTAGAGCTCCCAAAAGGACAGACCAATTTTCATGAATTTTAAAAGCTGATGAGATCTAATTGGTTCTTAGCTATAATTTATAAAATACATTCATGTTTTCGAAGACTATTAATTAATTTTCTATTTGACGAAGATATCACCAACTTATCAAGTATTCTTAATTTTTTTAAAATAATATTATAAAGGTATTAATTTTTTTAAAGAAGTTGTACTTGTACAAAAGATATATTGAAATTCTATGTAAAATTAAATGCTTCTGAGTTATACACACTGAAAAATAATATCAATTAAAGTACTTAATTTCCTCTTGATTTTGATTTTTAAATAAGAGTACTTTTAGTAATAACACAATTGTGGTTATATTCACAAAATTTTGAATAATAAATATTAGATTGACAATTTTATTCGCTCGTCTTGTTTGACCGCCATTGTTTTTCAGTAAATGCGAATCAATGTTTTGGTGTTTATTACTAAAGTTTGGTAAATACTTTTTAAAACTTTTTTCAGTCCACCCTTTACGACCAACCCTGTGTAACTTTAAATCGCAACGTAAATTTAAGTCCTTTTGTTACTTTTGTTTGCACATTAAACAAGTAATGATACTGCGGAACTCCATATCGAAAATCGTAGTAAAAGCGACAATCCAATTGTTTTGTTTTGTTAACGTAGATTGATTGTGGCACGGTGATGAATGTATGTATTAGACGTGCCGGATTACATTCGCACTGGGTTTATTTCCGGAAAACATTGATTCAATATTGCATATAGTATATGTTACTCTGTAAAATGAGAGAATCAGTGTCCGTATAAATATTATTGGCTGTATGCTTTGTATACCTGTGCATTTATTAAAAGAATATTGTAAATGTGCTATCTATTATCACTACTTGATACTTACTATGGTCACTCCTTTATACCTACTCTGTGCTGTACTAATTTTAAATTGTTCTGATTCTAACTTGTGGTAAACAAGCATACGGACCATCGGATGGTAAACGATTACGAGTAGCCTGTGGACACCTGAGCTACCAGGCGTATAAGGTGCACGTTGTTGACCCTTAAGAAATCTTAATAAACCCTTCTTGAAAAACCCCATGTTGTAGACTTGCGGAAGACCTCAGCAATTAGTTCATTTTACGATCTAAGTGTACTAACTCTAAATGGCTAAACGGATTATAATTAAAGTTGTGAATTTGCCTATATTTATTTTAAAAATTATATCAGACGTAGTGGCGGGCAACAGTTAGTAAACTTTTATGAGAGATTTATAAATAAATAAACTTGCGTAAAATAATATTGCTTCATAAAACCCTAATAAAAATGTGTTACTTTTACGTCATACTTAAGTATAATCAATCTTATACTTAATTATGTTTTTCTTACTTTGTTTTAGTTGGTTTACTTGTTATTTATTTTATTGATGAATGATGGCTTGGCCATGTCTAGGTAATATTGGTATTGGGTGGTATCGTATATTTATCGTATTATTGAATCCGATATAGGCATCGAAAATATCTGATTAATAACTTGTTGTTTTAAGGTTTTTTTATACACAACGTATTTTGATATTATTTAGGTTATATAACATCACAGTTATTGAGACTTGATATGAAGTTTATATACACAATAGATGATACACGACTACACAGCAAAATCATCCCCTATTTCACCTTATTATTTTTTGAGACAAAATAAGCCAAAATGCCCATCCTCGTCATATCGAATTTAATTAAAGGCGCGAAAGTGTGTCTGACAGACAGGCAGACATGCTTTCGCAGTTATGACATTAGTATGAAGACATTACAATAATATGAATTTATAGTAATTTTTTTTACAGCCACATATTATATTTATTAGACACAGCCATATATTTTTTCTTTATTGCTTATATGAATGTGTATGCAACAATGCAATGGTAGTCAATAAATACTTTCCTTTCATACTTAAAAATATTTTTTTTTGTTAATTCCAAAAAAGTGTCATAATTAAGAAATAAAACAATTTTTTTATTAAAAGATATTATTGTATTTCTAAAAGCTTAAACACTATAATTCAGTAGTATTTATAATACCCAAAATAATTGCAGAATTATAAAAAGTACCTAAATAATATCAATCTCTCTCTTGAGAATTCTACTCTATAGCTATGTATTTTCTTTTTATTTGATCATTTTCATGATTAATTTTATATCTAAGTTGAATAATCAATCATAATTATTTGCTCATTACATCTTAACTAATTGAAGTGAAAATACTTTTTTTTTCTTCATTTATTTTCTTTTGGACAATTCACACAGCGCCATTTAGTTCCAAGCTAAGCAGAGGCTGGTATAGGTATTAAACAAATAATATAAATACATAGATATATTTTTCGTAAATTATACTCATGTATATAAATGTTTACACCGTGCGAGGAATCGAATCCGCGACCGGTATGCTAAATCACATTACCACTACCAATTATTTGTATTATATTGCAATTAATTACAAAACATTTTTTCAAAAAGTGGAGGACTGTACAGATTTTTTATAGAAATGCTATATAATCCTAGCAACACTAAAAAATACTCTTCGAAAAGTGGAACAATATGTAGGATTTTTATACAATCATAGCAACAGTAAAGTTAGGACAGTACGTTTTACGAGAAGCAATATAATATAATGAAAATCTCAAGGCACAACATAAAACAGATGCTTAGGCAATTTAGAAAATATCGTTCCATAAATTGGCCCGATTGAGGATTGAGTCGAATTTATAAGCAAGCAATGTTTACCACTGCGCCTAAATCGTAAATTCAATTTAGGTAGACAATTTTATGACGTTCCTGTTATTATTTTTATTTCTATTATTAAGCAATGATTAAAAATACATGTACTTTATTGTAGATTTAACCATAACACAGAGTAAAGTATAATCACAGAATATTAGTGCAAGAAAACAGAGTAGCGCTGTATATTTTTTTAATTATTACATTTACTTATTAATGACATCTTGAACGTAAATATATATAGTAAAAGCGTAACCATGTCCTGTCTGCAGGTATATGAAATATTTTCTTACAGGAAAAATAAATTCTTATTTCTTTACTTATGTTACAGATTTGGAAAATAGTATTTTTTTGTTTATTCGTATGTGCATGTGTGTTTACATATGTAAATACGAACAGACAAAAGAGGCTTGGCATGACAAATAAGTTAAATGCTTATCAGACAGTAACCGTCAACCATGAACAGTATTATTTTGGAATTTCTCTTATTTTGGAATTTCACATTCTAATCTTATTTTATCTTATAATGTTTAGAGTAAAACATTATTTTCAAAGCAAAGCTGCTTTTGGCAGCTGAAACAAATGATATTGTGGTACCCATGCAGACGGTATTTTACAAAGTCTACTGCGTAAATATATTGATTCAAACAACCTTTCGTTCTAAGAAAACTATTGTTGTTCCGAATATAATACGTTCAAATTAACACACATTCATAGCAAGAACGAAGTAATATATAAGACATTTCATGAAACTAAAACAGGTACCTACAAGTATCTATCAGTATAAAAACAGGTAATGCTAAAAATATCACAGCGTTCAAGCAGCGTTTTGCAACACGAAATAAAAAGGCGGCTGCAATCTATTGACACCGGTTGTGGCCATATTTGGCGCAGGACCGTGCCACTCCAGTCTGTATTTATCTAGAACCCTAGTTGCTAATGAACCTAACATTTTGCCGACTACCCCCGTCGCAGGGCAAGCTTCTCCAAATGGGAATGAAGCTAAGGGATGGGCTTTAGAAGCCCTTAAAGGTTCCCATCCTTCGCTGCACCAGCGTTCTGGTATGAACGCCTTCGCTCTACCCCATTGTTTGTCAGATTTGCTTGTGACGCCGTGCGCTAATACTATATCCACCTGCGAAAATAATATTGCTGTTGAAGTAATTGATAATATTAATAATAATAATTTTCTATAAATGACAAGAGTATACCTATAAATTACAAGAGATACTATCGTAGTATCTTGCAGAGACTGTTCATTAGCTACTAAATTTAGACCTTTCACAATATTCATTTAGTAATTCCTTTTAATTTTTGGAAACATTGCCAATAACACTTTTATAGTATATTATTATATATTATTGAAGACATTTCATAGATTCCATCAGCAATTTTTTTTTCGTATATTATATTTGTTGTATAGCAAGATCCTCAATATTTTTTCCTTTACAATGTAATTTATTGCACATCAACATCGCTTCATCCTCTACGGGCTCATCACTTCAAAACTTCTTTCCATTTCGGTTACCACTTCTTTAAGTTAGCCCTAATATATATTTTTTAATTTATGTTATAAATTCTACAAGAAGTCTTACCCCAGCAGGTATTTCATAGCCAGCGACGGATAAACTATCGCTACTCCGTCTTACTACTCCACCAGTAGCTGGATGTAGCCTCAAAGCTTCTCTAGTGCAGGCAGCAACGTATGGCAGCTCTGGAGATCCGGCCCCAGCATCTTTGGATGCTGCTGACCACGCCACTTCATCGTGAGCGCGCTGTTGTTGTGCAGCGTGGAGGGACAGTTGGTAGAACATACTGATAGCTGTGTGAACGAGCTGAAAATGGAAATCAGATCATAATTTATTTATTTAACTTCACATAAATAAAATATACATATGGCGGACTTATCAACTTGTAGCTTTGTTTACTAGTCAAACATAAGTGGTGTAGAGAAAGATTGATGGCGGTGCATTACTTAATGATCTGACAATGAAATTGTAAGTACAGCCTCTTTGTAGGAAAAAATTGAGGATTAACAAAGAGATATATAGAGATATTCAAAGTGAACTATTATAACTACATAATGCAGTTGTATGTATATTGGTGTATCAACTTTAGAAATCACGTGACGATTATATGCTTCACAAGAAGATGCTTTCTATTAAAAATATTCAATATAGAAGAGATGCAAAACTAGAAGTCTAAAAGATACTTTAGAAACCATCTGAACTATATCCTTTGTAGTTGTTTCTTGTGCTATACATATTTTTTCCAGTGAATCTATGGTATTATCTTTTAAAAAAAATACCTGTCCTGCTTCACTTGGGTATATACTATAAGATGCAGTCTGATACTTTAAAAGTTACATCAATTTTGCACAAAGTATGTATTATCTATTCATATCTTTTAAACAATGTTGGTTATGGTACGGAAACTTAATCAATACTTGAAAATAAATTGTTTAGAATACTTACGGGACCGATGCCAGCGAGCAACATATCGGAGGCTATTGGTAGTATTCGCATATCTAATGGACGAAGTTTGTTCAATAGAACTTGTTCCGGTTTCAAGACTCCGGAATTTAAGTTCTTCAGAGCTTGTGTAAGGAAATGTTCCGTTAGGCTGTAAATACAATGAATAATGAATAACATTAAGCAACTTAGTTTCTTTTATGTTGTTTAAAAGTAATTATTTTACATATTTTCATATTATAAGCCTTACTTTGAAACCACACAAAATTTATTTGCGGCCAGAGTTACATTCTATAGCAAACTAGTGGTGTAACAGAAATATTTTCATATCACGACTATTATACCAGATGGGGTAGTCAGTGGTCACTATTTACATTAATTGTGATGATGATTAATATTATGTTCTTTTTTTTAATTACATTTGAAACCATTGTGATAGTTTGCGATAGAATGTAGAAAGGGTAGGTCCTATAGTATATGGATCCTGGAAGCTAAAGCTATGTAGATAAAACGGAGCTGTGTGAGCAATCTGTGACTGTCATAGTATCTAAGGACACTTACCTAATTTGCCTGTCAAAAGCCTTCAAAGCATTGTTGAAAGTTTCTGAATCAGTCTTAAGGGTTTTCTCACTCCGAACTAGGTAACTATTGTCCGCAATTTCTCTGGATGTTCTAACAAGACGTTCAGCAGGAGTGAGTTCTTGGAGGCTACGTTTTGATAGAGAACAGACGCTTGGAGAATCATCATCCATTGAGATTTTGTCGGAGGATCTAAATAGAATAACATATATCCATAAAGTCGAAACATCTACCACTTTATAATAAGATAGTTGGTCAGATTTTTCTGATGCAATTACTTAAACACACACACTAAACACTATACTAAAAAGACTTAAATGTAGGATTTAAAATACTCTATTACCTATTTTCAGTAGTTGGTACATGTGTCTCTCCGTCCAAACACCCTAGTCTCATGCCAAACATCATCATTCCGATAGTCTCTAGCGCCCATCTATATATTTCGGTCTCCAATTCATCATTTAGCGAGTTTTCTGCGTGGCGAAGTGCACCCAATCTAAAATATACAATAATTACTTAAGCTTCGGCTTCTACATATATAGTATAGTAGTATTCCGTGGCACATTGGTATGCTGTGATTATTAGTTGATGAAGCGGAAACGAAAAAATGAAGTGAAACCGCATCAAGAATTGGCCAAAATTATGACCGATTAGGTACATAATATTACTTGATAACCATCTTGTTAGGTATAACACTAAAATTTATGTTTAAAGTACGTTTTCATTTAATACCGGAAGTGAAATTTGAATACAAAACAAAACAAATTTTTCGAAACGCCAATATTGATTTACCATAGTACGGACAGCACAGTCGTAAAATGTAATTTACTAGAAAAATGTAAGATACTTGACTTTATTGAGAGATAATTGTGTTAGTAGAGATAAATGTGTTAGTTAGATTGAATATAATTCCAAACATATCTATAATTTTTTGAGTTGGGTGACAACTAAAAAAATATTTTAGTTGTCACCCACACCGTGCTAACGCGAGTAGTTTAGTGATGTATAGGATGACAGTATTTCAATAAATTATCATTTAGAATGTGGAGTTCGACGACCGTTTCTTTTCGACATGTGTGTTGTACAAATATGATGGTCATGAATTGAACAGATTTTGTTTATTTAGATTTAGAAGCCGATTTTAATGACTTATTTAATTTTGGACAATTCTGTTACAATAGGTAGGTTTAATTTTTTTTTGTTAAAACAATATTATGTTATGTCCGTTAACTCTATGGATCAGGTTATCTGGAGATCTCAAAATACATTTTTTTAACTTAGCGTGCTACTCTATACTACTTATTTATAAAATCATTTGTACTAACTGACCATAATTTTTTTTCGGGTTACTCTAAGGCCGCAGCTTGCCTTTACAGCTTCACCTGAACAATAGGAGGCGAGTGCAGATGGCACTGCAAACTCGCCGAAGGAGCGGCTGAAGGCCAACTCCCGCCTGACGGATACGACTTTAGGCTGAGGGCACCGCTAAGAGTTCGAACCTCGGGTCGGACTGTCCTAATTTCGATCACCGTTTAAATGGACGGGGGAACGATTGCAGGGGACTGACTATTAACACACAGCCAAATAAATTTCAATAAAAGCCACAGAAATTTCAAATTAGGAACATTGATTTGTTTTATAACGTAAGGATCTGCTAAGAAACAATTTCTTTAAATTTCATTTTATCTATACGGTAAGCTGCGGATGACGTCTAGTATGTGTGTATGTATATATATGAATGTGGTAAGAAAACGTGGCATGCAAAGTATAGTATCCGGGAAACGAGGATGCGATGTGACCGCATTTTCGCGTTCATGGAAGTGGAGGAGACAATTTGATTGACGCAGTAATAACGTTAGTTGTAACTTTTGAAATATTAGAAAGATCTTCTGGTTCAGTGACATCAACTAATGAGGACTTTTGATAATTTGAAACTGTTAGCACTACAATGATATTCAGTAGCAGTTTGTATATTCGTTTAGCCATATTTGAAATATTCTTTTTTTACATCCACTTCTTTCACTGCGCTTTACTATTGATTCTCTAAGTTCGTACATCATAGTATTTTGATCTTTTCACAGATCACAATCTTGTGTTCTCCTTTTATTAAATCTTGTATCAGAATATCGTTCTCTTAATTGTTTGTTAGTACTATGTATTGTTTGACTCCGCATTTATCCTAATATTTTTTAGTAAAGCAAACACTATAAAATATATTGGTATATCTCTGCTTGTATACTAAACTTGTCTATTTTACTTTTAGAACTACGAAATTATCAGCGACAACTAGTCAATTGAATAATAGCGTAGGGCACGGTTAAATCATATCAATAACATGTTTATTATATGTATAGCAGGAAGTAGTATTAAATAGACTTTAAAAATGTTCTCAGTATAACTGTGACGTTTTTGCACGTTATATCACACGCAATAAAAAATTGCAATAATTAAAATAAAATGACGTTGGATTTCAAGTTTTAATCTTAAGGTAGATTTCACTAAATTGTTAGGTAATGTAGTTTGTTTTTAAGTGTGCGATATTCAAAGATTTTGTTTCATTTTCACTCAATTTACAAGTTCCTATTTTAGTTATCTGTGCCAATTATTCCTTACTCCCGCCACTGCATTATTACATATGGGAATAGTCAGAGTTATTATTAAATGTCAACATCGTAAGAAGTGCTATGTTTGACATGTCCACATACGCTTGGTATCATTAATTTTTAATATTGTGTCTAATGCATTAGGGATAAATTGACCGCGGTCCATTAGATAACTTTAGTTTGTTATTGAAATTTTCGTCAGGGAAGAATCGATCGCACATAGCTATTATACTCCTGACTAAATTCGAATTGACGTAGATCGATATGACTAATCTGGTCTATAAATCAGAGAGGTTTGCCACTAGGGTTTTTAATAATACAAAACTTTGAATAACGTACCTTCGTGTAGCCTCTGCGGATATCTCGTCGAATACTTTGTCGTAACATTCTAACAATGCGCCATCTTGTAGTAGTGTTTGTATTGCAATCCATATTGCTTTGGTTTCGTCCCTGCAATATGATTAGACAATTAATTATATAAATTTCTGCGTGCTATAATATACCTCATACAAGATTGAATGGTCTCGGTGGTGGGTGGATTTAGCACATCGGTTTACTTCCGACGATCGCGGTTGATTCCTCGAGGGTAAAATAAAACTTAAGAGCTACGCCCTTATCGGTGGAGCTTTTGCTATTTCATACGATCATCCATCTTGTTTAAATGTTATTACGACACTACTCCAATGTTGACTTCAATTTTCTCAAAGGAAGACAAAGGCACTGTTACTTGTGCCTTGGTCTTCCTCTACCTCTTACCTTCTATTTTTTTCTCAATAATAATTTTCAAAATTCATCATCATAAATCAATCATGCCGTATCAAGTTTCTCTACATTTGTTGTCTATTTTCAATAGTATACAACATCTGTCTTTTTTCTTACAAATGTAGTACTTTTTCATTTCTTAGTTTATACTGCATATACTAAGTTTATTTAAGTTAAAGTGTTGTAACATACCCAGTTATAGGACAGGAGCTGGCAGCGATTCTGTGTTCACTGAGTGGCGATCGTTTCCAGCGCGGTGGCTCCGTTACATTACTCTCATACACCTATACCAAACAGCAGAAAATTAAAATAACAGACAAGTGTCCTACGAAATCGCATAGTTAGAATTACTAGATTGCCACATATGGGTAATAATATACATAATATAGGTAATACACAAACTTTTACAAAGAGAGTTTTATTTTTTTATTGGCCAGTTTATACTGTGCGAGGGTAGCGAACTCCTTGATAGGTTTTTAATATTTTTAAATTTTATAATAATATTCTTTGACATACACTTTAACTTTCTATTATATACTGTCAAAGTCGTATTTTATTTAATCTCCAAGTTTATAAAACTGTCAGCACCTCTCACTCATCACAAACCCGCCATTAACGGAAAGTAAAGTGGTGTGATTAGACCGTTAGACTACCGAGGCCGTAAATTGGTTAAGTATTTTTTTTCGTATACATGTTCGATATTTAAATCCGTTTTCCTAAGGTTGGCTTGAAAAGATAGTTTTCAGCAATATGGCCGCCTTATTTTAATTATACATTTGTTTTTAATCTAGTGTTTATGTCTTTTCTTTACTGTATGTTACAAATAAAGTATGTTCTGTTTATATGTCTAAAATATAATACCTTTATATTATTGCCAAGAAGGAACGTAACGACTAATAGGTACTTATTGTATCTAGTTCTAAACCAAGAAGTATTATATATTGTATCTAGAAACAACGATATCGTACTTCGCTATTATCAAAGTTTCAGAAAGTATCGGTCCGAAAAAAGTTTTATTAGAAACAGTTGTTCAATTTTGTCTATTACACACTACACGATTTTCACTACTGGTATATTAATATACTAGTAGTGAAAATGATCCGGCAAATATTCTTTTGCTGTATAAATTAATAAAGCTATAAAAAAATAGGGGTTGATGGTAGAAGGGTGCATATTTAAGTTTTTTTTTGTCACATCATAAAATATAGTTTTTTTCCAGAACATAAACGATATATTTTTTGGCGTAGGCCACCACCACCAAAACTAAATACTAACTATTCTTAGATGTACCGAGAATACATAAAAAGTTTCATCAAAATTGGTTAAGCCGATTGCTATATTAACGTACCTTAAATTACTACCACAATTGATCAATTTTTACAAAATGAAATATATATTATTATTATAGTTACTGAGATAATAATTTTGATTTAAGTTATATCTTCAGAATTTAATTGTAACGACTGAAAGGTCAAGATACAGTGTAAATATAAACACATTTCGGTGTCAGAACAATAGCTCGTAAATTACTGAGATAAGTCCGCAATTACAGGCGTGGTCGGTCTGTGGTCGTTCGCGTGTCACACCGTAGCGTAATGTTAACTATATTGACAATTAATAAAAAAACGTTGTGTGGGAATTTCTTGTGTGGGATATTAAAAACCTATGTTCGTAGAGTCAAAATAATATATATTTAAATATTTTATCTCATAAATAAGAAGCTCACTAATATTACAAATATAAATAAGACAGTTGATTACAGAAATAATTATATTTAAAGAGTTTATATTTAATATATTTATATTTTTTATCTTAAGCTAAAAAACTAGCTATAAAAAGCTAGTTTTTTACACATTTCAAAGAAGGAAGACGGGTTTCTGTTCGTTTCTTACCATTTACAAATTTCTAAGACTATATTAAATTATTACATAAGTAGGTTATATGTTAATCGATTTCTGAGGATTATTTACGTTTCTGTGTAATTATATTGTAACTAATATAATACAAATGGAAGACCCTTTGGCAATATTGCAATTAGATACTCCTATTATGTTATATTCATTACAATTTGACTTCAAACAGGGCCGGGCCGATTTGCATAAATAATAGATATCAATTAATTGGTAACAGCTGACGGTGTAACTAAGGTCGTTATATGCTAAATAATGAAAATTTGGACTTGGTCGGTTAAACATTTTTACAATCTTTGCCAGATATTTTCGGGGTGATAATATTATTTTCCAAATGCTTCTATTGCTACACTGATTCGTTATAAACAACGGTTTTATAAAAAGTTGGGAAAAGCATCATCTTATTGTCTTTAAATATATTTTACTATTCTATTTTCGATATTATTATACTAGGTAGTTGGTATTCAGTAATTGTAATATTTTACTTTCTCATTCTATATTATCAATATATATATGTATATATACATATATATGTATTTTAGCCTCAGTGCAAATATTTGTATTAATGAGTATGAATGTTTTTATCTGGATGTTTTCAATGCTTGACAAAAAAAATTATCTAAGTATTTCAATGAGTTGTTTAGTACCTATAACACAACCTTAGCTTGGGACTAGATGGCGTTGTGTGAATTGTCCAGGTAAAAAAAAAATATGTTAACCAACATTTATGACATTTAATATGTTTTATCGTTCTTTGGATAATACCCATATAACTTGAGCTGTATTGTTTACAAAGTTTATCCCTAGATATAAAATCTCTTTATAATAGCAATGTAGTTGTTGTCTTTATAATTTAATGTCACATTAATTTTAGATAAAACCTTTTAATGTTTCGTCTGTGCTATTTATATTCGCGTTATCTTTAGTAATAACACCATTTATTATATTTAAATCATAATATGTTTATTGCCTGTATAATATAATAAATATTATTACTGTGATCTTTGACAGGTTATCACATTTTTTTTACCGAAGTCAATATTGTATATTTAATATTAACAATTTTGTTTGTTACTTTGTTTCCTTTATAGCTGAGCTAAAATTAAAGGAGTCATACAACACTGATCTACAACAGAGCGACAAGCCCATGTAAGTCCCAGGGGAAATTTCCCTTGTATTATAATCCTCAAACAATTTTATTAGAAAATGTATGTAAAAATAGTACGAAATACGTAAAGCGCATTTAGTTAATTAAAAATAATAGAAATATTGTACAAACAATACACCGGAGTAGACTTTATAAAAAGTCGTTTGCGTGGGTCAGTCACCTAAGTATCATCTACTTCAGCGGCCAAAGAGCTTGCTTCCAAAGATGTGTTTTGGTGTGATAAAGTAGTAAAATTACACGATAAGATACATGACATCTTAGTCCACCGGAATAGAAACGCATGGTTTGGTATAGGGGATCATGTGATACTGTGATATTCGTATGATGTGTACGGATGTACGAGATGTGTATATGTATATAGGCAACGGTTACTACTAACAATTAGGTGGGCCACCTGCTTCTAATTTTCAATGTTAAAAAAAAATTGTTTAAAATATTTTTAGTATATTCTATGGAATAAATATAAAACTAGATAATGAGCAAAATTTGTTGAATAATAATCATTACATAATATAAAACAATGTCGCTGTCGCTCTCTGTCTATCCCTATGTATGCATAAATCTTTTTAGTAGATAGAGTGATTCAAGAGGAAAGTTTATATATATAATACATGTACACCCGTGTGAAGCTGGGGTAAGTAGCTTGTTACGTATAAAATAAAAATAATATTTGATGTAAAAAATGCGCCCCTGTGGACGCACTTTTGCGGTACGTTGGTAATAAGAGTATTAACAAAATGGCTAGTCGTTTAGCGAAGATGTGTCAGCTTTTGGTTCCTTACAGTAGTCAATGCTTTCATAAGTTCTTGAAACTATGAGCATAGAAATCAAATGGATTGAGTTTCTTCTTAGAAAGGAATTGAGTATATTTTCATGACTGTAATATTAGATATGATAGTCAGAGGTACACATACAAATATTAAGATATATTTTTTTTCGTAATTACATGCATATTATTCATAGTAAACACCCAGACCGATATAAACAATCCTATTCATGAATTTGTGCCGTGCGAGGAATCGAACCCGCGACCGTCGGAAGTAAAGTGGTGTGCAAACCGCTGGACCACCGAAGCCGTCATACTCAATGATTTATTGAATGGTACACCAGGAATAACCCAAATGCTAATGAGAGATGCTGGATGGGGCAGTGGAAGCTGCTAGGATGAGCATGAAAATGGGTCAGTTAGTCTACTGTAGTGAATTTATTAGTAATTAAATACATTGGTTTCCAGGAGACCGCATGGAGGTCGACCTCGTTTTTTTGTTAATCAATTTATTGAATGTGTTGAAATGGACGATGATGAGACGGTCCACTTGGTGCATGGGCTAGATTCTAACTTATGGCTTTTGGGTATAAGTCTGTAGCCTGTTGGTAAACCTCTATGCTACGACGTTATCAGAAAGAAGTTAATGAAGTGAATGAAGTTATTCTATATCCGATTCGAGTTGATGACAGACTATGAATATAATATTATCTTTCTTTGTTGAAACGTAATAAATAATACATAATTATTGTTTGAATATTAAATATGCAAAGATTAATTATTTATACAAGTATATTTTAGTTGTTATATTATATTTTTTAAGATTTTTAATTTTAGGTTCTTAGTTGTACAATTAAGTTATGTAAATAAAGTAAAGTTAAGGCATAATGTAATATAATAAAATATTCTTTTATCTTTACAATTTAAAAACGCATTCAAAAATTATTATCCATTCTAAAGGTTGAGTAGAGAATGATTTGCCGTTTTTGTCAATGTCGTTATTTAAATAAATACCTACTTACATGTGTAGTGGCAGAAAAATAATTGTAGTATTAATATTATTTTTGTACTGGTGTTTGTTTTGTTGCCTTATTTCATTGCTTATTTGTTGTTGTTTTAAAAATCGTCCAATTTGGACAGGCGAAGAGCATTGATTATTATTTTTTTTCATCCTTTCATTGTTTATTACTGATATCACTGAGAAAGTCTATCTCTTTTTCAATGATGGAACAGGCAAATATCCTTAGACCGTACAGCCTAGTCTACTTTCAAACTTCTTGTAATCGTTGCTGAATATATTTACGCGCGAAAAACTTTGTATACTTATATTATGTTTGGCGTTCTATTTTAGAATTATTAATTTTCTTTTTAGTAATGGTTTTATCGATTGTCTGCAAACAATGTAATATTTTTTTTATTTATTGCATTTATACAATATCAATCTAATATATAATTAGGTACTAACACATTGCTGTTGCTTTTCTACCAATTACTGAAATTATCATTTCATATTCAGTAGACATGTAGATTTTGTTTGAAATAAATTATTTTGATTATTATATTATTCGTATCTTTACACATTTTATTATTATTTTTTGATAAACACCAGTACGAAGCCGGGTCCGACCACTAGTTGTAAATAAAGACTCTTTATTTACAATATACAATGTATAATGGTATGTTTTAAATAAGTATTTTTTATATTTAGTTCGGTTTGTTTGTTATGCAAATTGAGTTCGCAACTGTACGAATTTAAACAAATGTATAATTTCTGATTATGATAATATTATGTCGACAAACATCTATTGTTACGTTATGGAATGGAAATAAACTTGAACTTCAACTTAAATAAGCATATTAAGTTTACAAACTTCTGTATTTGAAATTTGGTTTGTATTTGAATATGTTTTGTTTCGTTTAATAATGTTAAATTTTATTCTTTAGATTGTTTTAGGATTGTTGTCATATTTTTTTATTGGCTCTTTTACGGGTTCGAGTTTATGACCATATTCAAGCCACGGAAAAAACGATATCACATTACACATAAGTACACCAGAGAAAAACTAGAATTCAAATAAGAAAAAAATTATAATAATCGGTTTATATGATGAATTATGTATGCGTGTGGCGATAGTGGCGTCCCAAGTATATTCTTATTATGCTAAATTTTATTTTTCTTACTTCTTTGTTCTGTGATTTAACATCGGACCCAGGATTTTGGCTACCAACCCATTTGAGATATACAAATCTACATATTATCTATACTAATATTATAAAGAGGTAAAGTTTGTGAGTTTTTATACTATGATGGTGACAAATCAAGTTGTAGGTCAACTTTGTACCTACTGAATCGATTTTAAAAATTCTTTTAGTGTTCTATAGCCAGTTTTAATCGAGGAAGATTATAACATCACTCTACGACCAGTAGGAGCGGAGCTGCTATGAGAAATGTAGCAAAAGTGGGGAAATGTGAAATGTAAAGCCCGGGTCAGCTTGTCTAATATATTTTTTACTCTTTATTTTTTTGGGATTTTTGTACTCAAAATGTGAAGATGACATATTATCAAATAACATTTGTGAGTATAATCCTTATAACGAATCTACTATTAATACAGTTATTCTAATTATGGACTATATTTCAATGCATTTGATAACCTAATCTTGGTTATTGCAGTTACATTAAGTCATTATACTTAGATGATGGTCGCCTATTTCATAATCAGCTGATGATAAAACAGACTCAAATAATAACATGACCTATTACGTGCGTCATTGTAATTGTTATTACTATGATAGCATAGTATCAATATTATTTAGAGCAAAATGAATCATTACAATCTTCTTATAAAAATATTATGATGTTTTTGTGTGAAAAATATATTTACACTGACTTCCGTGACTGATAGATTGTGAAATGTCTAATTTTTATTTATTATTCTAGACTACATCTACCTGCATATATGTCTTAAATAAAATTGGAGTGTCTGTTTGTAATATTGAAATAACCGTTTTATACTACATGCATATGAATATAAATATGGTACATGCACCAAAATAACATTTTTTACAATTTTTGTCTGTCTGTCTGTTTATTCCGGCTAATTTCTGAAATGGCTGGGCCGATTTTGACGGGACTTTTTTGGCAGGTAGTAAATGTAATAACGTGTAACTTAGGCTACTTTTACGTTTGGACTATTTTTAGGGTTTTGTACCTGTAGAACTTCGACGTCTGGGGATCTATTGTCCCGGCCCTGTTTCATAATCCGCTACATTGTCCCGACAGGGATAAATAACAATTTAAGTATATTATTAACAGTGATAGTTTTATCTCTTCAGGGTAGAATGTAAAAACTATATCAACTAACCTTGATAAAAGTGGTATATATATATGACCTGTTCAAGCACGGGATTATGTATATAATCTTTAAAATATTAAAGGAGAGTTGTACGAGATTAGTTCAACAGTTCCGTGCAGAAAGAGGGCGGATTTTTGATCTGCGGATTCCAGTTTATACCAAAATTTGCTTTTCTACTTAGAGCTAGAATGAATTAATCGACTGACTGGTTATTTATTTATTTGTATATCTGGGTCTCGTCTCGGTGTATTTATTAGGTTTATTATGGTCTTATCAGTTCTTAACTAAAGTTCAACATATTTATATTGGAATAGTATAAAAATATTATTTATTAAAATGGCATACCTATTCAATGTAAATAATTTATAATAGCCTTTATACTCTACCATTAAATTCAAAAATAGTTTTAATCGAGTATACATTCTTCTGTGTATACGTCACGTAATATTTGCGCTTATGCACCGATGTTGTTGATTCATTTCAAAATTTCATGTTAGTTCTATACTATTTCCGTCATGATAGTAAGATGTCGGTGTATTTGTATTTTTTTTAATTATACTCAAAACAAATTACATATTTCACTTTCATTAAACATAAATTTCATTATAAAATCATTAAAAAAATTATTATTAAACTATTGTAAATTTTTAATTTCCTCATATTTTTTATTTTTAGGTAACTCAAGAGCAATACAAACTAAACATCGCGTCATGAGCATTATTGGGTACAGATCAACGTCCAACTGTACGATTTTAATATTTAGATTATAAATACAATCTATATAAAAATTACCTCTCTCATCATTTCTGGATCGAAGACAAACAGCACTGGTCGTGTTCTGGATGCTTTCGCTAGTCGCACCAAGTTTCCATATTTATCACGCAGACCTTCTAGGAGACCCAGGCCAACAGTGTGGTGGAAGTTACCTGTACAGATTATAAATTTATTTTTAATAATTCATCTGTAATCCTACTTTTTTATGTAATTGAAAGGATAAAGAAGCCCACGGCTCGTCACACGGTAAGAGGTAACCTTCGCTTATATACCTACATAAATATAATAACAATATCTTAGGACAATACACACAGTGTAAGCCATAGCACAGATAAGATAATAGTACATGTCATAGTGATTGCTTGAAAATATTTGGACAGGAACATCCGAAACCGGAAAAACTTATAGGTAAAAGTTAATGGTACTAAAATTTCAGTCGTGCCAGTATTTATTAATCGGGTGTTTTTATATTATACATATATATATATATATATATTAATGTATAATATGTACCAAAACATTGAACACATCAAATTAGCTTAGTCTTTTTATAATCTTTCTTACAGCCACAGATACATAATATTGCACCGCGTAAAACAATCATGAAGAACACATCAAATTAAGGCTATTAATTTTTTAATATAATCATTTTTTTCTAAAATATATTTCCGGTATAATAAAATGGAGGGCCACAAATACATGCTCGGATACTCTGCGTGATCGAATCAGAAATGAGGAGATCGCGCAGCCGACATAGCCCGAAGAATTGCGACTCTGAAGTGGCAATGACGAGAATGTAGGACTGATGGCCGTTGGGGCAGTAAAGTCCTCGAGTGGCGACCACGGACCGGAAGACGCAGCGTATGGACCGACGATTTGGTCAAGATATATTTACAGCGCAGGACCGATTTTTCTTTCTATGTATTAATCTTTCTGCATGATGATGATGATGATGAATAAAATTAATTTTAAATAATACATTTAATAACTTTTTAAATTATACTTTCATATCTGCCCCCACTAGCGATCTCCGACTACTGAGAATGAAATTAACTATTACTACATCTTTAGAATTTGTAAGACAGTTATTAAAATTCAAATATAGTGACGAATTTTGTTCCTATTGCGTCACTTTACGGAGTAATATGGATTGATCTATTAAAATTAGATGGAAATTGCATGTAAATGTGACATGAACAGTTTATGTTATCTCATGACACGTATCTCATATTAACATACATAATTATTAAGTACCTAATATATGTATATATATACATGTCCCATTCAAATAGTTTCATAGTTATATATGTATATATATATCATTTATGATGGAATATACTTAATACATATCTTTATAAATTCAAATAATTTCATATTCTGACAAATAAATATATTATTATTATTATTATATTTATTTTGATGATTCTTTAATAGCACGAATTCAAAGGCCACGCTCCCATTGTAAAAGCGTGACATGACTAAAATCGGTGAAAATAGCATGTATGAAAGTTATTAGTGTAGGAGCTGTATAAGGAAAAAATCTAATGACACTTGATTCTCTCTGCATATCTGGTACAGAACTGAAATATTGATGTATATATAAATTTAGATCATTGAATACATTGGACAAAAAAATTGATAATATTCCTTTTTTGAATATTTTAGTAATTCTTTAGTTAAATAAATTTACATTTCTGCACTTTTGAATAGTCATTTTTATTTTAATCTATCGCTCCTTCTGAAAGCTGAAAGAAAAGAAGAACGAGCAAGAAACTTGCGTGAATGTAAATATTATATAAGAAATACACACTAACATGTAACCATATTATATGCAAATAAATCGTTATTATTTCTGCTATAGATGTACCTACCGAATTATTTTTATTTTTTATTTATTATTAAAAAACAACAATTTTGCAATTAAAATTGTGTTACTGTGTGCTAAAAAGCTATGATAGCTTTATGCCAGAGGTTCCCACCAGACTTTTTTGTGTCGTAGATCCCTTGCCATATTTTTCGGTTTTGGGTAGACCCCCCATTCTTACCTGGTATTGATTTTTCGTAAATTTCTAACTGTAGTAAAGTTTAGTGTTATAAACATAAAGTAAAAACAACATGATGACCGCTGTCGTAGACCCCTTCCAGTTTGTCATACCCCTGGGTGTCGATATACCACTTTGGGTATCACTGCTTTATGCGGAAACAGGGCCGTATATTATATAGTAAATTACTTGTTTATGATTTTATAACAAGTATATAAATATAAAACATACAAAAAATTTAAATCTATTATGTTTTTATCAAGTAAAATGCATTCATATTCTTAATCACAACTTATAGTTATCTTCATACACTTTAATTATACACATGCACACACATTCTTTCTTACAGAAACACACACACACACAAGTGACTAATAATATAAATAAATAGTATCTAATTCAGATACTATTATAATATTTGTAATTCTTAAAGTTATTCTTAAAATTGTTCTATTAGTTTTATATATTGTGAAATTTATAATATTTGATTTGTACTTTTAAATTAATCCTTATTCTGTTTGCCACGTTCTGTTTTATTTTCTTTTGCTAATTCACTGAAAACCTGTTATTGGCTTTCTCTAGATATGTACTGTTGATTAATGTATTAGATTGTAAGCTGTTGGTTTTCTAATAAATAAATAAATGTTTCAGTTATTATTTTATAAATCTTATTGGCGACTATATAAAAAAGTAAGTAAATGTGTACGTTGAACTTTTTTTACAATAATTAACATTTTTGAGATGTTATTCTTCTCGTTGACTTGGTCTCAGAAGTTTTAAGTGAAATTGCTGAAGTTTGAAAGTAAGTGAAGTGCCCACGTAGCGGGAATGAGCGGCAGACAATAAAATTGTTGAGATCAAACAAACTTTGTTTTTAAATTGGTTTTTCGCCTCATGTTACACGTAGATGGAAATTCGTCAAGTCCATGAACATGATCATTGATTTAAAAAAGCGAAACTATCATTCATTGCAAAAGAGAAAATAAAATATCCTCTATATATCTGGTCAGTCTTATCCAAAAGTGAGGACGGCGCAGCTATCAAACTGTAACGCTTTACTATAAAAACAAAGTTCTTTCATGTAGGTTAATATCACAACACAGAAGTGATAATAGTTCATTGACCTAGTTATATTTTGCCTTATTGCATCTCATTATCTTCAAAAACTTGCGTAGACGTCGTTGTACACGTTTTTACAAGTCAAGCATAATTTTTAAGTTATTTTTAGTCCTCGGAATGTTTACAGGCTTATTGACTGCAGAAGAGCTTAGTTTATAAATGGGTATGGCTATTAAAACATTGTAATAATAAAGTGCAATGACACTGTTATTATCATCTAACCGGTTCAGTCCAGTTTCTGCCGGCTACAGTCGGTTACTATATACTTTCGTTTTATATTCGTCCGCTACTTTCATTCCATAATTAGATTTGAGCACTGAATTAAATGCATAGTGAATAGAAATTGCAGAAATTAAGACACTAATGTTTTTGGTAGTAACGGAAGATTTCCTGTTCTTCATTTGAATATCTATATTAACTAGTGGTCGAAATTCATTTAGTATTCAGTAAGACTTTTGAGCAATAATGTTACAGACAAACTATTTTAATCAATTTGACCACAGACTTTTACAATAAACAAATAAGTATATATAACATGTGTGTCCAATATATGATAGGATGTGTAGTGTTTTTTTTATTACAATTTAAGTTATTTTATATGTATAATAAAAAAAATGTTAGCTTTTTGCACTCATTCTCAGCATTATAAACTAAAAATGTCCGGAATTTCTTACTCCGCTATACTCACAATTTTCGTAAAATGACGTATAAAGTTTTATTTTATAAAGTGTCTCACGTATTAATATACATGTAGATATTATAAAGCTAAAGAATTTGTTCGTAGTTTCTCTTATTAAACAAAATGCTGACTTTAAAAAAAAACATCAAGCTACATCTTTCTTTCTAGGGAACATCTGGAGGTCAATCTGATGAGGTACAATGATATCAATGGAACCAGTATTAGAAACTCTATTACTAATAATCAGTTTCCCTGACATCGCTTATTATATTGTAATGATCACACTATGACCTCCCATTGAATTCCATTTCTAAAATAATACGCTGATATGCATTATAGTATTCCATAGACTGATGATGGGCAGCAGCGTCATCGGTTCGAGAAACTGTGTACTGCGATCGCCAACCCGCATGCCCAGCGTGGCGATTATGGGCATATTCCTCCCATGACAAGTCCAACACAACCATGGCCCCTAGTTCCCGGCCGCTCTGCTATTCCTGGCCAAGGCGGCGGTCATGGTAACGGCCGAGCAAGGGGTGCTAAGAATCCCCGGGCTACGGTAGGCCGCCAACACCCACTGACCCTGGCTACGTATAATGGACGCACACTGCGACTGAACGAACACCTTGCGCAACTGGAAGAAGAACTGAAATACATAAGAGCCATCTTATGTATGTATTTCCTAGGATATGCCAATATCCTAGGTCTTTGCGAAGTCCGAAGAGAGGGGAGGACACCATGACTCTGGAATCCGGCCATCTTATGTATTTTAGAGAGGGCAGAACAACCTTCCCAAGGCGGTGTCGGGTTTTTGGTCCATAAGACCCTAGTAGGCAATGTTGTAGAAATCTCCAGTGTGTCGAATAGGGTTGCGTATCTTGTATTAAAGCTAACTGAGAGGTATAGCCTTAAAGTTGTGCAAGTTTACGCACCGACATCGGCACACTCGGACGAGGAAGTAGAAAGTATGTATGAAGACATATCTAAGGCCCTACATAACACCTCAAAGGCATTCTACAATGTTGTCATGGGGGATTTTAATGCTAAAGTGATAATCCGAACCAGCGAATCGTTAGCTGTTGGACCACATGGTTTTGGTAGCAGAAATCATAGGGGGCAAATGCTCGTCAACTTTCTGGAGAAAGAGGGGTTGTACTTGATGAATACTTTCTTCAAGAAACAGCCTCAACGAAAGTGGACTTGGCAGAGCCCCGATTCTATGACAAAAAATGAGATAGACTTCATTATGACGGACAAGAAGCGCATATTCAGAGATGTCTCTGTGATCAGTAGGTTTAAAACCGGAAGCGATCACAGATTAGTACGAGGCTCTCTGAATATCAATTTGAAGCTGGAAAGGTTACGTCTGATGAAGTCGACACTCCGGCCGAATATGCTCCAAACCATCGTTGGTTCTGAAGCATTCCAATTACAACTGGAAAATCGGTTTGCTGTTTTGGAAACCACAGACGCTATTGACCAAAAACTCGACACTATAATAGATGTCCTAAAGGATGAAGGCACGAAATATTGCGAGAAGAGGCGTACATGCAAAAGGACTGGACTTTCGAGAGAGACTCTGCAGCTTATTCAAGACCGACGCGATAAGTCCTTATCGCTTACTTCGCCAGAGCACCGGGCACTAAATAAGAAAATTTCGAAGTTGGTACGACGCGATCTCCGATCCTCGAATACACTTTTCATTGAAAAAGCTATTGAGCAGAATCGGGGATCAAAAGTGTTCGTCCAACAAGTAGAAAGACGCCACTTGTCAAAGGTAACCACATCGACAGGTACTGTTACCGCTTCTAAGCCAGAGATTCTCTCGGAAGTCGAGGACTTCTTCGGCGAACTGTACGCCTCACACGTATGTCGGCCTGAATCACTTGCAGGAGATCCCAGGGCTCCTCTGACTCGCCATTACACTGAGGAGATGCCCGAAATTAGTCGTGACGAGATCGTGATGGCTCTTAAACAGCTCAAAAATGGAAAAGCCCCAGGTGAAGATGGAATAACCACTGAGCTCCTGAAGGCTGGAGGTACTCCTGTACGTGCAGTACTTCAGGAACTCTTCAACTCGGTTCTCTTCACTGGGAGAACTCCACAGGCATGGAGTAGGGCCACTGTTATTTTGTTCTTCAAAAAGGGAGACAAAACCCTACTCAAGAACTATCGGCCCATCTCATTGCTAAGCCATATATACAAGCTGTTTTCAAGAGTCATCACGAATCGACTTGCGCGAAGGCTTGACGAGTTTCAACCCCCGGAACAGGCCGGGTTTCGAAGTGGTTATGGCACCATAGATCACATTCACACAGTTAGGCAGATTATACAGAAAACCGAAGAGTATAATCAACCTCTGTGTCTAGCCTTTGTTGACTATGAGAAGGCCTTTGACTGTATCGAGACCTGGTCTGTTCTGGAGTCTCTGCAGCGATGCCAAGTCGACTGGCGATACATCGAAGTGCTGAGATGTCTCTATAACGCTGCAACAATGACCGTTCAAGTACAAAATCAGCAGACTAAGCATATCCACTTGAAACGTGGTGTAAGACAGGGGGATGTTATATCCCCGAAGTTGTTTACAACTGCGTTGGAGGATATGTTTAGAATGCTGGACTGGAAAAATTACGGCATTAATGTTAACGGCGAGAACATCTCTCACTTACGATTTGCTGACGACATAGTCATCATAGCTGAATCGCTGCAGGACTTACAGCAGATGCTGAATGGCCTGGCTGAGTCGTCTCAACGCATCGGTCTTCGGATGAATTTGGACAAAACCAAGATCATGTTCAATGATCGCATTCGTCCGGAACCGGTTGCCATAAATGGAGTTCCTCTCGAAGTTGTTCAGGAGTATATTTATCTAGGGCAAACGCTCCAACTAGGTAAAAACAACTTTGAGAGGGAGGCCAAGAGGCGAATACAGCTAGGCTGGGCGGCTTTTGGGAAACTTCGTCAAGTCTTCTCGTCGTCGCTACCACAAAGCCTTAAGACCAAGGTTTATAACCAGTGCGTCCTACCCGTTATGACATACGGTGCCGAAACGTGGACACTGACGATACGACTGGTCCACCAACTTAAAGTCGCTCAACGAGCTATGGAAAGGGCTATGCTTGGAGTTTCTCTGAGGGATCAAATCCGTAACGAAGTAATTCGCCAGAGAACTAGGGTCACCGACATAGCTCTTCGTATTTGCAAGTTGAAGTGGCAGTGGGCTGGTCATGTCTGTCGTAGAACCGATGCTCGCTGGAGTAAGCGTGTTCTAGAGTGGAGACCGCGAATTGGCAAACGTAGTGTAGGACGCCCCGCAGCTAGGTGGAGCGACGACATACGTAGGGTTGCGGGTAAAAAATGGAAGAGAAGGGCTGAAGATCGTGCCCAGTGGCGTGCCTTGGGAGAGGCCTATGTCCAGCAGTGGACTGCAGTGGGCTGATGATGATGCATTATAGTTGTTTAGAAATTCTTTACTGTAGTCGTCGTTCTTTCACCACCTGTATGAATCCCAAATAAAAAATGTGACACTGGCGTTTATGATATATTATATTTACCGAGTCGTTTTTTTATCGTTTATGGTACATTAAGCTAATTTTAAAAATAGTTAATAAGTTGGGAAACATACTGTAAAGGTTTTGGCAACGCCAGAAAGTTTTATTATCAGTAAATTTAAAACACTTAGTCTATGGTTGTGTGTAAACGGCAGTATACGATGTTGTTATGATATCATATTGCATTGTACGATTCAACATGTTAATATACATTAAGATGTTTGCTTCAATAAACGTATTGGTAGGTACAGCATCCGGTAGCAAGGTCTAATAAATTTATGCAGAATCGAGTGACAAGTGCGCATATTGGGAATTATTATCAAGGTATGCAGACTGCGCAGTTGAGTTATAAGATACTGTGACGGTTACAAATTCACATGCATAGCATAATGGTAAATCATACTGCTTTGCATAAACTAGCTTAGCCCGCGGTTTGACCTGCATGCAATTTGTAGTCTATGTGTTATATTACTGTAAAGTTTCATCCAAATCCGTTTAGTAGTTTTTGCGCAAAAAAGTAATATAATAAACATTCATCCATACTCACAAACTTTCGCATTTCTAATATTGGAAAGATTACGTAAGTAAACAAATAACATTGACTTGTTTTTGATTGACACTCTGGCTTATAAAATATTCCCTTTAAAATAGTATTCTCTACCTTTATTACAGAATTTAGCTATCATTCTTAAGAACGAATAATCTTATCTATACATATAATCAAAATGTAACTGATTGTCCGTACATGTAAGATATAGGAGAAAAACTATTATTCGAGGACTTTATAAACCGTGCAAGTTCGTGCGTGGAATCGAACCCGCGACCATGGGATGTAAGGCGGAGCGGTAAACCGCTAAAAAGAAGATTAAAATTCGCTTCTGTTAATAAAAATATACTTACCAATCCTTGGAAGTACATGGGCAGAATGTCTCAGCATAGGCAATGCAATAGGTCCCGGTATATCTGAGAATGGTTTCAGATATTGGGCGACTGCTGGTGCAGCAGCCGGTTTATATCGTTGCGGTGATGTAGAGGACCTTCGAGAAGACGAGCTGATGTGCCGTCTCGTCGTTGAAGGGAATCTGGTAATAAAATAATTTAATATGATAAGAGCGGTCTAGCACACCGTTTTACGACCGATGGTCGCGGGTTCGAATCCTCGTACGGCACAAACATTTGTATTCATGAGTATGATTGTTTGTTTCGGTCTGGGTCTTTTCTATGTCTAATATGTATGTATTTACAAAAAAAAACTATGTATATATATCAGTCATTTAGTACCCATAACACAAACTTTAACTAGCTTAACTTGGGTCTAGGTGGCGCTGTGTGAATTGTCCTGAGATTATTATTATTATTATTATTTAACAGGAAGCGTATACTTATTAGCCGTATCTGATGGTAAGGTTACCCTTCCCACGTTTTTTGTTAATACTATTCTGTACTCAGTAATTTCAGTAATATCTCAACTTCTAAATCACAGCTTGCAAACCAAGCTGCTTGGCGGTAGAATACTTTGAAAAATACTCTTTAATAATACTTCGGGGCCGTTCAAGTATTACGTAAGCACTATAGGGGGGCGGGGGGTCTTTTCTTTGCTTATTTTGGATGACATAGGGGTGGGGGAGTCTGTATGATGATTACGTCATCGGTCGTAATTTAATTTTTTTACACGAATGGCAACCCTCACATTGTATAAAAAATATATACATTAATTGAGAAATGTTTACGTAAGCATGGGGGGAGGGGGTAAGAGCTTTGCTTACTTTTGCTGACAAGGGGGATGGGGGGTAAATAATTGTGATAAATCTGCTTACGTAATACTTGAACAGCCCCTTCTATATTTTTAGGACGCATACCTTACAGTTTGTATTGTACCTTATGTTGTTATTAATAATAGAACCCAGTTTCCAAAAGAAGCTGATCGACTGTAGGAATACGAGAGATAGAAGTATTCACGCAGCATACTTTGAACAAAGTCTACATCTAGTTTATATTTATTTGATTTTAATTAAAAAGGATTTCTATACTATTCTATAGAAAATATATTAGAGGAAGTATGAAAGTGGCACCGGTGTCAGAGAGGTTGAAGAGTAATCGTCTATCATGGTATGGACATGTAATGCGTAGGAACGAGGATAATATTTTAAGAAAGGTGTTACATATGAATGGATGGTTATAAGGGCAGAGGAAGGCCGAAAAAGAGATGGATGGACTGTGTGAAAGATGATATGGTAAGAAAGGAAGTAAATAACGCGATGACTGCGAACAGGGATGAATGGAAACGAAAAACATATTACGCCGACCCCAAATAAATGGGATAAGGAAGAAGCAGATGATGATGATGACTATTCTATAGAAAATACAAAATTGCAACAGGTTATCAGCGATATCAATATCAAGGTCAGTAAACAAAGAAACGTACCATCAAACCTGTTTTAACTATACGTTACTTAAAAATTCAAACATAACTTTGTAACTGTAAACATGTTCGTCTCTTATGTCGATGTTTATATATAAATTCGTGTTTTTTTTATATAAATAAGTACTACAGAATTACGTACTATTTAAAATTACTATGCATAATAAATGCTTATGTTACTGTATGAAGTTTATTTGTTATTACTTGTATAGAAATAGAAATATTTTTTATTCAAATAAACAATATGACTATTCAAAAGTGATATAAGCACTTTTGAATAGTCACATTTTTTATATTCTACCTCTCATTCGGAATGCAGACAAGAAGAATGGGCAAGAAATTTGTGTGTTGCTCATTTAAATATTATCAACTAGCTGTGCCCCTCGGTATCATCTGCATGAAATTTGTAGCCTATTGTCATGTATAAGCTATATTACTGTAAAGTGCCATCAAAATCCGTTCAAAACTTTTTGCGTGAAAGAGTAACAAAACATCTATCCATACACACAAACTTTTGCGTTTATAATTTTAGTAATATTACTTAAGTAAACAAATAACGGCACTGTCCAACAACAAACCATTAATGTCCATTTGCTGGGCACGGGTGTTTTAAAAGATAGGGCAGGGCCAGGCAATTAGACAATTATTCGATAAAAACTATAAATACTATATCCACGCAACTTCGTCTGGATCGAGAGAGAGAGGACAAAATTTCTCCCCTTTTGCAATATTTTTATATATACTTTCCTCATATCCAATCTTTTATTCCTCCAATTTTCTATATATTTACATATGCTTTCCTCGATAAATGAGCGATCCAAGATTCAATTCCTCAGATAAGCTTCTTGGACCAAATAAACAAACCAACTCTTCAGCTCAATAATATGGTATATAAATGTAGATTGCTCTCAGAGAAACACTAAATATAATTGTTGTGTATCTATAAGTAATGTGGTACGGATATAACGGCGATATATTCTCAATAAAGAATAAAACTTCTTCAAATAAAACAAAACTAACATATGTGGCCCCCAATGCTCGTCAGTCTAACTGTCCATTGAATTTCTCACAATTGCGCAGAAGTTTTTCGAGGTCAGAAACTAACAGTTTAGAGTAGGTGTTAGAAAGATAAATCGCAAACTTTCGCTTTTGCCACTTTAATCGGAGACCTCGGGAATCACTTCTTTAAACATATCAGTGTTTGCTTGTAAATGGCCTGAATTTCTCAGCTTTTGTTCGGAAAAAAGACTAGTGGACCTTCAGTTTGTGTTCAATTTATCAAAGAAAGAGTTAAATTAAACGAGGAAAATTTTTAATACAATGATATATTTTGTTAAAAAAACTCAGAAAACGCATAAAAAAATGCGGCACTAATATCTAATAATGATAATATGTTAGTAATTATTTCCTTTAGGATAAGTGCCCATGGCTACGTAAGATAATTGCATTGCATAAAAAAAAAACAACAAAGAGAAAGTGAAAATTGACTCCCTAGTAAACACTAAAATTATTAGGAACGGCCACAGGCTATGTTTTTTCTAGAAAAATAGCAGACGAAGGTGCGGTTGCTATTAAGCAAGTAAAAGTAACTTCCATATTGGTTGCAAAACGTATAAAGGCAAGAGAAGAGTAAGTATCGTTTATAACTATATTATAGGGATAATTGATATTTATATACAAACTATATTATTAAATCATGGGACTGTAGCTGTGGAGATAACAATTAAGCACGTATTTGTCGATATAATGTATAATCCATTAGCTTAACTATACATATATTAGAATAATGGAGAATGCGCCATTAAGATTAGGATAGCTAACTACCAAGTTATAAATATAACAGTAACGTATAATTGATGCCTATATAATATGTAATTAATGAATTAGAGCATTAATATAATAATACACTAAGATTTGATATTGTTTAAACTTTTAATCATTACAAACAGTATAATGATGTCAAATGTCAAAATGATATCGAAAAAATTACGAAAAGGAATATATTTTTTTATGATGGTAAATGGAAACCGTTGATTAGGCTCATCACTACGAATATCACCTTATCATATGATGCTCGTGATATTATGAGTTGCTGTTCCGGAGATCATTGTCATGTATCATTCCCTCTTATGTTTATAATTTCACTTCTAACCAAAACAAAAGTAAAATTAGGGATCAAATTTAAAGAAAAATCTTTTTTAAGTCATCATTGATTTACAGTATAATTTTTACATTTAAGCTTTGGGATAGATCGAAGATCGTGACCGGCAAATATGAATGTGATGTCATTCAAACTTTTATCCGGTAGAATAGTCAGTATTACTAAATAAGTACCTACGTGACTCGAGTCACATCCATAAACATAAAAACGATTTGGTGAATGGACGAATGTAGGTGCACTTTATCTTGCAGCCTATTTGGTAAATGCAGGACTAACTTTGTATGAAAGGAATTAAAAAATATTGACAGATTAATGCAATGAAGATTTTTTTAATCTCTCGCATTTATTGTACATTGTTAACCTGGTCTTAACACGAATAATTTTATGGTAAATAAAGATATTTACTCTCCCCTTAAGGTACCCTTTATTTACCATAAAATATGTTAAGATCAGGTTAACAATATACATAACATGAATAATATATACAATGAAGCTTTTAGATTGCCTTTTTTGACTATTTACAAACTTTGTATATGTTATTTTATAATAAAAGTACAAAAATATCTAATAAAATTGAATAGATTTATACACATATATATTATAAATGTGGGAATGAGGATTCGCGAATAACAGGATGATTATTTTATAGAACTCCTTTTATTTAAATTACAAAAAAAAACATTTACTATGATACATGAAACGACCTAACTATATGGCAGTCTACGAGGAAGAGAGCGATGCCCATCCTCTTTTTCCATTCATTCCTTTCTCCATCCATTCACTCTTTCGTTTCTATCCATTTGCTCCTCTGTTTCCATTCATTCATACTCATTCGTTCCCATTCGTTCATACCGCCAAGTTTCAAATCCTACAACTCGGCCATCCTGCATTGGAGCCTGACCTCAGGGTCCGTCTTTCACTCTACAATTCTTCTAAACACACTCTTTTCATACACACCTACTACACACTAAAGCAAAATATAGAATGAAAATACAACTAAACACCTTAAATTAAAACATGATCCTTCTTATAACATAGTTACACAACTTTAACATATTACACAGTACAAAAAATAATAATACACAAAAAATACAACTGGTACAGTACCTATACTCCTATAATCAAATACAATATAAACTAAGTACTAAAATAGGTACAGTCAAATAATCCTTTATCTTCACCATAAGCTAATACTAATGCCTCACAAGGTCAGCCATCAACTTAATTGGAAAATTACAATAATTTGGTAAGTAAATGAGTTTCAAGAACTAACCTCTGGCCACCTCTTCATATAGTCTGCTGAAGTGGACGTCCTCATAGGTCCCTCAGAAGCAATATCGACCTTCAGTACATCATAGCGGTCTCTGCCATTGACTTTAACAACTTTATAAGGTCCTAAATACCTTTGCTTTAATTTCATATTAGTACCAAATTGGGTTCTCTTGATTACTACATAGTCACCAATATTATGTTTAAGGCTTTCCTTGCGTTTTTTGTTATAATTTCGCCGATTTTCATCTTGTACTTTTAAAATTTGTATCTTAGCCTGTTCTCTCGTTTCTTCTCTATTTGTCACAAATTCGTCTCTACTTTCTTCTAGTAATAAACTAAAAATATTTAAATCACTATTTTTGTTTCATTTTTACACCCACCATTAACTCATAAGGACTGGTTCCTATACTTCTTTGATAAGTACTATTTAGAGCCCTTTGAACTCTACTCACATGCTTATACCACTGACTTTTATCCTCTATGCACAGTTTCGTTAAGACTGACACCAAAGTACGATGAATCCTTTCTACCTGCCCATTTCCTCTGGGTACTCCAGTGGTGATAACAATATGTTGGATATTCTCATCTTTACAATAGTCATCAAACTCCTTGCTAGTAAAAGCCGTTCCTCTATCTGATATAATTCGATCTGGGTTTCCAAAAGTCTGCTGATGAATAAGTAACTTACTTAATGTCTCCTTAGTAGTAGTTGTCTTCACTGGAAAGAGCCAAACAAACTTTGTAAATGCGTCTACAATTGTTAAAATATAATTATACAATTTTGAAGTCTCTGAGAGTGGTCCTATGTGATCAATATGCAATGTACTAAGTGGGATAATGCCCTTCTCTATGGAATTAAGAAAACCTTCTTGTTTTCCTTCTTTCTTCGTTGCCAACAAACATGGTACGCAGGTTACAAGGAAGTTATCTATTTTAGAAGATAAATCTTTTATATAATAATCTACATTTAACATTTCTAACATCTTTTTCTTGCCAAAATGACCATTCGAGTGAATTGTTTTAATAATTTCCATTTCTAATCCCTTGGGAATAAGTATTTGTCCTTGATCACCCTTGTATATGATTCCATTCTGTTCATAATAATCTTTGTAAGGCCTCTCCTTAATTATATCTGAAATCGCCTTTATACCCTCATCTAGTTCCTGTGCTCTCCTGATTTGATCATGTAACCCTCTGGTAACAACAGTAACATAAGGATTGCGGCTAAGAGCATCAACATGCCGCATCTGATTCCCTTTTCTATGCTCCACCTCATAATCATACTCTTGTAATAACAATACCCATCTTGCAACTCTAGTTGATAAATCCTTCTTTTTTAATGTCATTTCAAATGCTAAGCAATCAGTAACAATCTTAAATTTTATGCCAAGTAAATATTTCCTGAATTTTTTAACACCCTCTATTATGGCTAATGCCTCCAGCTCATAACTTGTGTATTTCTGCTCTGCATCTGAGGTTTTACGACTTAGGTAGTACACAGGGTGTAAACTCCCATCATTAGAATCCTTTTGAAATAATATTGCTGAATAAGCCATGATAGATGCATCTGTATGCAATTCGGTATCGAGTCCTGGGTTATATAATTTTAATACTGGATTTTCAGACAACAACTTCTTTAACAATTTGAATGCAATCTCCTGTTTTTCACTGAAAATAAAATCATTATTCTTCTTTAATAAGTCTGTTAATGGTCGTGCTATAGAAGCATACCCTTCAATAAATTTTCTAAAATAGGATGTCAATCCAATGAAACTTTGAATCTGTTTTACCGACTTAGGTTGCGGATACTTTAAAACTGCTTCAACTTTGTCTCTACACGGTTTTATTTCTCCATTTTCAATTTCATAACCAAGATATTCCACCTTTTTAGTCAATAAGTCACTTTTTCTCCAATTTATATGTAATCCATATTCAGAAGCTAATTTTAAAACTTCACGAAGTCGATCTATGGCTTCATCATATGTGTTTGATAATATTATTAAGTCGTCAATAAAAATTAATAGAAACCCCTTTGCTATAAGCTCTCTGAAAATAATAGTGATAAAACGTGTGAAATAATTCGGACATATGGACAAACCAAAAGGTGCTCTCATAAACTCATATTGACCATTCTGTGTCACAAAAGATGTATACTTTGTACAGTTACTATTTATTTTGAGATGAAAAAAAGCGTCTTTGAGATCCAATTTACTAAAAATCGTGTATCCAGAAAGCTTATCTAAATGATCTTCAATGATTGGTAGAGGAAACTCATCCCTAACAATTTTTTTATTTATTTTACGGTAATCAACACAGACTCTTATACTACCATCTTTTTTTCTAACTAATACTAATGGGCTTGCATACTCTGAAAAGCTAGGTTTAATAATACCATTTTGTAACCACTCACCAATTTGTTTATCAACTGCTTCTTGTTCCTTATAGGCTAGTCTACGCGGCCGCTGTGCCACCGGCACATCGTCGTTCAGGATAATCTGCATTTCAAATGGTGCCTCCTTGGTTTGTAAGGGCTTATATTGATCCACTATAAGCTGAGCTGTCTCCATAATCTGAGGATTTGGTACATAACTAACCGGTTTGTCATCTGTAAACAAACAATGCACATTCCTCGAAACTACATTTACCACACCTTTATCGAAAATAACTACCGCATTTTCCAAAAATGGTTGACCTAGGATCACTTTGTAAGGCATTGCATTTGTTGGTACAATATAAAACAATAATTCAAAATAACAATCATCAATTTTTAGTACTGTTTGAAATTTTCCTATAGAGTAAACAGTCGACAATCCCAGTCCGTGCAACACTATCTTTTCTTTATTATAGGCACTCACATTTAGTTCGAAAAATACATCTGCCGACACTCAGATTTACGTCACTCCCCGAATCAATTAAACATTCGATTATTACGCCATTTATCTCCAATGTTTTGATTGAACTATTTCGCTTCGTATTCATGACGGTTTCAAATTGACAGTTCCCGAGCGAATGACATCTGTCACCACTGTCAACATTGCTGCCACTACGCACGTCGCCATTTTCTATGTTCGCGTCTATGTTCACACCGTTCACACACATTGATCGTCGTTCCGGTCGGTCTTCCGCTCCCGTCGTAGGTGAAGTGATTGAGATGCACTTATTATCATTCCCAATCGTATTTGAATTTCTTTCGACAAATGCAGCTCTGCAGTTCGACGAAATATGGCCGTATGAATGACATTTGTAACACTTAACTCCTTTCGAACATGTTGTCGCAATATGACCATTTTCACCACATTTGTAGCATTTTCTGCTGTCTCTGTAATGCTCTTTCGTTACTATGGGTTTTCTTTCTCTTGTAGTTACGTACATCTTTTTCTTCATGGATTCGTATATCACTAATTTTTCTTTTAACGAGGCATAGGTAGTGACCCCGTACAACATGACCTTGTTTATCTCATCATCTATAATACCGTCTATTATGTACTGAACAACACAATAATCAGGTAACTTGCCGCGCTTGCCCAACTCCTTCATTATTAGCATATATTCATAACAACTTTCGTTTTTTCCTTTTTTCCTGTTGGATAAGATTTCGTGCAGCTCTTTCAAATTTATGCTATCAGGAAACTCCTTCATAATAGCACATTTTAAGTCGTCATAAGTTTTGAATGGTTTCTCCGACTTTAACCATAGTAATGCGTTTCCGGCTAACGATCTCCTCGCCAAAATTAATTGCTGTGTAGCACTCCAACCAAATATTTCCGCGTTCTCTTCTATCTCCTGCGCCCACCTCGCCGCCGTTATAGTCTTATCGGTCCCGTTGAATACCGGTAAAGTTTCAACTGGATGCCACGCCGCCTCGCGAAATGCACGTTCCATCTTATTTTCGTCTTTAGACATTCTTTTTGTAATTTAATATAATCTTTAAATACGACGTGTCCACCTCGACATTCGTATTCTTCGTCCGCGTCACCGTCTGTACCGCGCCGCAATTCGGGTACTTCCGTCTTCCATAAAAATCCGTTAACATCCAAGTAATCTTTGATCCTCTATCCCGGACGAGCCCCCAAAATTGTGGGAATGAGGATTCGCGAATAACAGGATGATTATTTTATAGAACTCCTTTTATTTAAATTACAAAAAAAAACATTTACTATGATACATGAAACGACCTAACTATATGGCAGTCTACGAGGAAGAGAGCGATGCCCATCCTCTTTTTCCATTCATTCCTTTCTCCATCCATTCACTCTTTCGTTTCTATCCATTTGCTCCTCTGTTTCCATTCATTCATACTCATTCGTTCCCATTCGTTCATACCGCCAAGTTTCAAATCCTACATAAATATAAACATCATTATTGTTGCATTATTGACAAATTATTATTTAAAGCACTAAAAGTAAAATATATAATATAGAAAGCAAACACTTATTTTTTATTTATAATTTAAATAAAAAAGTTCTCTATAATTTTGTTGAAATTAACAACCATCTTTAAAATCACGCCTCATTACTTTTATATACTATTACTTTATTGAAACTACATAAAACTATAGATATTTCTAAAGTTTTAATCTACTCAGGATATTGAAGTTAGATAAACCGATATTTTAAAAAACAAAATATAAACTTACAAAGATTTTCGGATTAAAATTGTCGATTTCGCCATGTCAAACAAATTTATTTATACATATATTTCACTAATCATATTAAAAAATATATATTTATATATCACTCGTATTCGTTTTCAATAAGGTGCTTTCTATACGTAAGCAGACGGTAGCGTCGTGAGCGCGCGCGATACTCTAGTGCATGCATGTGGTCACAAACATTAAAATGTATAAGTGAATGAGATAGGGAAGCCCTCTTTGTTAATATCGATAAAAATATACTCTCTATTTACGAGCTCTGCACTACCTGTAATGAGTATAGAATAGAATAGAAAATTCTTTATTAAAATAAACTAAATTTAAGCACTTTTGAATAGTCACAGTTATTCTTCTTTTAATATACCTCTCATTCGGAAAGCTGTCTTATCACAAAAAGAATGAGAAAGAAAAAAATCTCTTTTAAATCTTTTTTTGTTAACTTTACATTTTCAAGTCGAAGAAGTTATATTTGTGATAACTAAAGATCATGCAATAAAAATAAATAAACATTACGAACTAATAAACGAATATACCTGATTACCATGCAATGTGTATCTAAAGCTGCATTAGTAAGTTCCTACCAGATTTGGCTGGTCACGTAGAGAATCGATGAAGACGAGTGTTACGTACGTCGGTAAAGAGGACCCTTTAAACCTGCACCCGTGTCATAAGGAACTGCTCGGAGTTTCTGAGAGCTGCCACACGATGGATCCGGCACCTGCAGGGTGAATTCATGGAAGTTCGTCTCTTGCACAATTACATTACTTGCACATGCTGATAACTGTAATTGTGTTAATCCATCAATTATTTTATTACTCGCAGTGAAATATTTATGACTCCTTTCAACATCAGGACAGCTATCGTATTTTATTTTTATAGGCTTCTAATTTGATCTTGGTGGTATATTTTTATTTTTATAATCTACTTGGATAATAAAATTAAAATATTAGCTTTTAACCTTCAATTTTAACTTTTTAAGATAAGATAAATGATAATATAGTTAAGATACGTATTTATCAAAATAAGAATTTTTTATACGATCGAGAATCGTTATAATGAAAGTAACCAAACATAATTGGGCACTAAAATCTCGATTCTAGAAGGCTTAAATGATATGGTACAGTATGTATGGTATGGACAGATAAGTAATAGTCACTAAATAATACGTATATAAAATAATATGGGGATTTTATAAGAACATTTTCAAATATTATATTTTAAGGTTTTTAAAACATTACATTCATTCGCATTCGAAATATTTAACTATCATATATATATTATATAATTAATTACAGTTACTCCAACATAAATATCCAACTTACATAATCACTGCACAACACTACCTTATGCTATAACCAAGAAATCACATTAATTTTATGATGATTTTACATAAAGTTATCGACATGTTTAATAGTAATGTATATACTAGTAGGTATATAATATGAAATACTCTATCTATGAACTGAACTTTATTTTACTTATTGCGTATTTGTGAATGAAAATAATATCGATGTAAAAAAACAGCGCTTTCGTCACACACTACTGTCAAGTTGAACTTTGTCCCCTGCCTTTGTTTACATTTGTCTACAAGGCTGTAATTGACGAATCCCAATAATTGTCTCACACGTTGTGTTTATTTATTTATTTGTTATAAATAGGTTACATAGTACTTTGGTAATAATGTACATAATTTTGCATTCAGCTACATTGCCCACATGCAATTTGTGTGTCAGTTTTAGCCGTTCTGATTTCATGAACATTTAAGTTATATTTATATATGTAACTTAAATTATATTATAACTTAAATTAAACGACGGCTTCGGTGGTCTAGCGGTTTAGCACACTGCTTTACTACCGATGGTCGCGAGTTCGATTCCTCGCACGGTGCAAACATTTGTATTCATGAGTATCATTGTTTGTATCGGTTTGGGTGTTTTCTATGTATATTATGTATGGATTTACAAAAATAATCTAGGTATTTATATCAATTATCTAGTACCAATAATATAAACTCTGCTTATCGTGGGTGTTAATTGTCTAACGTTATATATTTATACAGCATAGAAAGCACAATACTATCTCATGATGAACCATGAATTATTATCTATATATTTATCGACTTATTTAAGAGTAATATTATAATCTGCCGTATTTTATCTATCAATTGAACTTTGTTCATACACATTGCATAGTTGTTTATGAATAAAAAAATATCGATGTATAAAAAACCGCGCTTTCGTCATACACTACTATCAAATTGAACTTTGTCCCGTGTCTTTATTTACCATTCCAATAGTTTAATTAATGAATCCTAATAAATGTAATATTTTAATTTTTATCACGCATAGATTAGGTTTCTTACAAACAGCAGGGAATGACACCGCATGTGCTTTTATACAGATATAAGTTATATGACTTATCCTTCTGTTTATTCATTTACTAGCTATTACGAGTGACTTCTTCCGAGTGGGTTTTAATTTTTTTTTAAGTAATGATAATTCGAAAATATAATATCAATAAGCGAAGTCAAAATCGGTCCAGTCGTTTCAGAAATTAGCAAGAACAAACAGACAGACAAAAAATATTTTTGATATTTTTTCTGACATTCATATACAATTAATAAAAAGATGTTAATTCCGAAAAAACACTTAATTCGATAAAAGAAGTATGGAGTAATAATGACAACTATTATTCCATGGAAAAATATGTTTTATTTGATTATGACTAATAATAACAGAATCTATCTCTAAGTAGGTAAATCTGTTTACAACTTTCTCGTTCGACTCTACTATATCTGATATATTATTTATTATAAAAAGAACAGGATTTCTTAAGTTTATATTAAAATGTTTATATGTGCAATTTCAGTATGGCCAAAATTCTACTTTATTATTATACAGATTAAAGCTCGAATTTGCCTATACCTTGATAAGGATTAATATAGAGGCACTCTTCTCAAGTTAACAGGGAGATCAGATGTCACAGGTAATTAAAGTGGTGTCGCTGTGAGCGCACGTGCTAGAATTCCAGGGCCGTATTATTCTCTGCGGTGAGGGGCAAAAATTAAAAGGGGCAATACCAATTGTGCTATTTTAAAACTGTTCAACCGTTCCTATAAGGTGGCGAGATTAATAATCTCTAATTACTAGCAATGTTATGTAGGCTTCATCGTAGAAACCATCATGGTAGGGTAACTAATTTGATTTTATCTTCAACGTATTTTGTCTTTCAGAGATGACAGCGTATGCCTTCGAGTTTTCCTTCGAACTATTTCATCAATATCCATAACAACGGTATTTCTTTGGTTCTGGTTTAACTCAGTTATAGATTAGCTGAAGATAGAATGATCTCGATTTAGCCTTTTAAATACAAAAAGATCAAAGAATGAAAAGAAAGATCAATCAAAACCGTTAATTTGACAGAAAAAATATTTAATTTTCAAATAAAAAAGTTTTTGCGGTTGTTCAAATTTTTGTACAATTAATGCAATATTGCAATAGGTAAGTAGTAAGTCTACAATTACAAATTCTGAAATTCATTTTAGAGTTTTATATTTAAAGTCAAATTTCCAAAATTACAAGTTACAAAAGGATATGTATATTCGTTTTATACAATGTCTACCTTACCAATGTCCACAGTACACATTTGTCAAAAAATAGTGCAAAAATATGCATTCTACTAAACTTTTCCGTTTGTTATTGTAGCGTTTTAACAAAAGAAGGTTAAATGGTTCTCGCTAAAATTACTAGTGCAATGCGAAATTCGCTTGACGTGAAGTTTTTGGTTGTTTTGCTTTCGTAATTGGGGCCCAGCTGTGCTTGTGGTAATATTAATGGTCATTTTCTGGTATAACTCATTGGCTTACGATATAAATATTTGTATTCATGTGTTTCTTGTTTTAGTTAGTAGACAATCAATATATCTCTAACAATAACTTATATTGTTAAATTAAGTCATAAGGATATTTATTGGAGAAGAGGCAGTTAAATTGTAAATTTTATTTTCAAAATAAAATTTATTACTACTATTACCACATGTAATTTAACTTACTATAATATTTTCAATATTGTTTAATATTTTGACTGTCACCCCTTAATGGTAACTAAAACGGCCCTGATTGTGTCAGAATATAGATTGTTTTAGTATTATTAAGACATCTATTTTTAGAAAGTTAATCTCCTGGAATTAAAGTAAAAGTAATGGAGATGTTTATTTTTTTATTTATGTTGTTTCAAAACAAAGATCTGTTTAAATCGACTATTTATCATAATTCTTATTAATGAATTTCGGGAATTGAGAATGATTTATGTCGTGAAACGAATATAATAAAATAGAATTTCCATTTCGTTTGATTCCTTTTATTTATGATTTATTTGGCAGTAATATTTTAGTGAAAAAAAATGTTTTAAGACATATGTAACGTATAAGTTGAGATATAGAGCCAATAGGAAACAGAAGTGTTGTCTAATAGACAACATTTCTGTTTCCTATTGGCTCTATATTCTATTCAATATATAGAGATTTTATGGGAATAGGTATAAAAATTTACAATAAGACACCAAAGGATATGTTGGAATTACCCTTAAATAAATTCAAAACATCTGTTAAATCATATTTACTGAGCAAAGCCTATTACTCACTAAACGATTACTTGAATGACGAGTGTGCATGGCAATAGTTGTTCAACTGAAATTTAATGTTAGACATAGACACCTATATAAATATACATTGTAAATAAACTGGCTTTAAAAAAAAAAAAAAAAGTAATTCAATTGAGTTTCTTGCCAGTTCTTCTCAATTGGATCTATATACCGAACTGGACGGTAGGGAAAAAAATAAAATTATAATGTAAAAATTTGACGTTCATAAGCGGCTAAAATGTCCTACATGAATAAATGATTTTTGAATTGAATTTGAATTAGAGTCAATAGGAAACAGAAATGTTGTCTATTAGAATTTCGCCTGTTTTATTTCAAATAAAATAGAGCCTCTTTTCTTTCTCGTGATAATTAGATTTCGTTAAGATACGTTCAGCCGTTTAGTCGTGTAAGGACTATGAAAGCATATGCTAAGAAGACATAAAAAGACTATTTCCTATAGTTATATGCATTTTATTTACTTCTTTCTCATCGATTGTAATAAAAAAACTCGAATACAAAAAGAATTA